CATTAATAAAGTAATATGGAATTATTATAAAAAATGGAAGAGGCGGGGGCGCCTGGGTGGCTCAGTGGGTTGAGCCGCTGCCTTCGGCTCGGGTCGTGATCTCAGGGTCCTGGGATCGAGCCCCGCGTCGGGCTCTCTGCTCGGCAGGGAGCCTGCTTCCTCCTCTCTCTCTGCCTGCCTCTCTGCCTGCTTGTGATCTCTGTCTGTCAAATAAATAAATTTAAAAAAAAAATTATAAAAAAAAAAAAACTTAAAAAAAAAAAATAAAAAAAAAAAAAAGAAAAAGAAAAAAAAAAAAAAAAAAAGACAAACAAAATCCAAGAAACCAACTTAAACAAAAAAAGCTTCATCCATTCATAGTCTCACCACCCAGAGGTAAATATTGCTAACATTTTGGCACATTTCCTTCTAGTCTTTTAAAAAAAAAATGTATTTTATTTATATAGCTGAGATTATACATAAATGTAATTTTGGACCCTGCTCTTTTTTCACTTAAAATCAGAGCATGAACTCTTAATAAACATTATTTTAAGTGGATATATAATAATCCATCATATAGATATTCTACAATATATTAACTGCTCCTTCACAGTTGCATATTTAGGTCGTTTCCAATATTTTCACTATTATAAATAACACCACTATTTACATTCTGGTCCATAAATCTTATAGATTACTTTTTTAGGATAGTTTCCCAGAAATGTAATTACTAGGTTAAATGTCAAGAATATTTTAAAGATTACACAGAGATGTAGTATTCTTTAAAAACAACAAATATATTCTTTACAAACAAATGGAAAGGCTTCTACGGGGTCAAAAGTTGTTTGTATGTTTGTGTCTGTGTAAGTATGGAGGGGGGTGGATGAGAGACAGAACTGGGAACTCTCTCAGTACTTGGTCAGTGCAGTAACCACGTGACCTTTTCTCTTGTGAGCTACTGCTCAATTTTCAGGGGCACATGCTGATTAAATATTGTTCCCTGAATGCCACCAAATGGAAGCAAATTTCAGGTACGGAGTCTGTATGCCTTTTGCGAGTATATTATCCATAGAATCAGTGAGACTTGGCACCTGTGTTTTTCACCAGGCAGAGCACTTTCACTGCCATTAATTACCTCAATATCTTCTCACAGCTTCTGGGTGAAATGGGTTGGGACAACCATTCCCATGCCCAGGTCATTGGTTAGAAACTCAGGCCCAGAAAGAAGTGACTTACCCAAAGTCACAGAGCTTGTTGGAGAGAGCTGGGGCTAGAATTCTCGTCTCATGGTTCTAAGGTAAAAGCCCCTGTTATGGAGTGAATTACGTATCCACCACACCACCACCCCCACGCCCCATCCATATGTTGAAGCCCTAACCTGAAATGCGACTATATTTGGAGACAGGGCCTATAAGGAGGTAAAAAAGATTAAATGAAGTCATAGGATGGGGCCCTGATCTGGTAGGATTAGTGTTCTTATAAGAAGAGGAAGACCAGAGCACGCTCTCTCTCTTTCTGCACACACGCAGAGAAGAGGCCACAAGAGGACACAGCAGAAGGTGGCTGTCTACAAGCCAGGAAGAGAGGCCTCATTAAAAATCAACCCTGCCAACACCTTGATCTTGGAATTTCAGCCTCCAGAACTGTGAGAAAATACATTTCTGTTGTTTAAGTACCCAGTCTGTGGTTTTCTGTTATGGTAGCCTTAGCAGACTAATACAGATTTTGGTACCAAGACATTGGGGGGGCGGGGTGGTTTTTGCTGTAACAAATGCCTAAAAATGTGGAAGTGTTTTTGGAACTGGGTAATAGGCAGAGGCTGGATAAGATTTGGGGTACATGTTAGGAAAAACACCTAGGTGGCCTTAAAGGGACTGTTGGTAGAAATCAAGTGTTAAAGATAGTTCTGGTTAGGGCTAAGGAAGAAAAGAGAAGAGCTGTTAAAGAAAGCATCTATTATTTTAGAGAAGACACACATCATCATGGACAGAATGTTGGTAGAACTGTGAACCTTAAAGGCGATTCTAGTGAGGTGTCACATGGAAATGCAGAACATGGAAATGGAAACTGGCAGAGAGGTGATCCTAACTGCAAAGTGGCAAAGAACTTGGCTGAACCATGTTGCAGTGTTTTATGGAAAGTGGAAATTGCAAGTGATGAACTTGGATATTTAGCTAAAGAGATTTCTAAGCGAAGTGTTGAAGGTGCGGCCTGATTTCTCCTTGTGGTTTATAATAAAACATGAGAGGAGAGGGATAAATGGAAGGGACTGCTAAGCAAAAAAGGAACCAGAATTTGAAGATTTGGAAAATTCTCAGCCCACCCATGTGGCAAAAACCAAACAACAACAACAACAAAAAACCAAAACAAACAAACAAAAACAACCAAGAATGCACGTCTTAGGGAGGACACCAAGGGTGTGCCTGGCCAACAACTCTAGAAGGAGGCCCCCCATGCAGTTCATCAGACATCTCAGCAGAAACCGGTAATAGAGATGAGAGGTATACTAGCAAGAGACACTGCCACTTTGGACCAAAGGGAACAAAGAAGGGACAAAATAAAGAAGGCTGTTGCACTTCCAGGATTCTACAGTACAGGATGGCTGAGCTATTTGGCAGTGAATATGCTTTATTCTTCAAGAGACGGGAAGAATGAGCTTGAAGGAGATTCAGAGATCATCAGGGCTGCCATTCCCACTATATGCCTAGGGCACTCAGCCCAGACGGCAAGGCTATTTCCTTCTCAGGTTCAGAGGGTAAGGCCTACTCTTGGTTTCAGGGAGTTGGGCCATCCCTGCCATGTGCTTCAGATGCAGGGCTGCGCCAAAAAGTCACAGGGATAGGGTTGCTGCCCAGAGTCGAGGAGGTGGGGCTACTGCCTAGGGCAGAGGGATGACAATACGGCCCCAGTGGGCCCCGGGTGGCAGAAAATTCAGCTAAAGGATTATTCTAGAGGTTTAAGATCTGGTGGAATTTGCCTTGCTAGGTTTTGGGGGATTTGTCTGGGACCTGTCACCCCTTCCCTCTTTCTGATTTCTCCCTCTTGGAATGGGAATGTTTATCTTATACCTATATTTTGCACATAAGTCATCTCGTGTCCATGTATAGAGGCATTTTGCCTCAGGATAAATCATGCTTGGAATTGCATCCGTATCTGATTTAGGTGATATTTAGATGAGACTTTGGACTTGGAATTGATGCTAGAATGGGTTAAGACTTTGGGGGCTGTTGGGATAGCGTAAATGTGTTTTCTATACAATGAGCACATGAATTTTAGGGGTGGGGTCAAAGGAAAATGTTATGGACTGGGTCTCCCTCCAATTCACATGTTGGAGCCCTAACCCCCACGGTGACTGTTTTTGGCAATGGGCCTATACAGAGGTAATAAAGATTAAATGAGGTTATAAGGGTGGGGCTCTGAGCAGATGGAATTAGTGCCCTTCTAAGAAGAGGCAGAGAGAAGAGCTAGCACCTTGATCTTGCACTTCTAGCCTCCTGAAACTGTGAAAAAATAAGTTCCGTTGTTTAAGCCCCCCAGTCTGTGGTATTTTGTTATGGCAGCTCAAGCAGACTAATACAGCCTCTAAATACATCAATGGCAAGACCATATCTTTTATTTATCCCATGGGTGCCCAGTGGTTTTGACAGACCCACCTACCTAGTCATCATCTTCAGGAGTGTCTTGTCCATCCCAATACACAGTATTTTGTTGACTTGTGCAAATCTGGGTGTGAAGAAAGAGGCTCAGTGAAAGGAATAGACGACAAGAGGTCTGAAGCTTGGTTTCTAGAACCAGGCTTGGCCAAAACTTGCTAAGGGATCTTAGGCAAGCCACTTCTCTCTGATTATCATTATCCATCTGTAAAATAAAGTGTGCTGCATCAGGCTCTGAAGTTATACAGATGTGGCTTCGAATCTAGACTCTGACATTAGTTGTGTGACCTTGCACAAGTTTGGTTTTCTCATCTCGAAAACAGAATAATAGTACCTACCCCAGGGATTACTGGGTTAATTAAGAGATGATGTATCCAGAGTCCCCAGCACATTTTAAAGGACAATAAAGGTGGTTATTTTCCTAGATTCATTAATTAATTAAGTTAATGTATGCAAAGTGCCAAGGACAGTTTCTGGCACTTAGAAAGGCTGTATCCCTCTTAGTTGCCTTCCCCCCCCCACCCTTATTCTAGCAGATAGTTAAGTCCTCAGTAAGTAAGATCCTTATTATTATTATTATTATTATTATTATTATTTAAGATCCTAATTATTATTTTCAGGCTTCATCTCCCTTCATTTCCCTCCAAAGCTCTAAATCCTAACTTTACCTAATTTTGTTTTCCCCCCCTAATACAGCCCCTAGGCTTTGCTGCCCTAGTATATTTGTCTACTCCGTTTTCTCTGCCTGATGCTCCATTTCTTTTCCTCCAGAGCGCAGCTGTCTTCTCCACTGGGAATCCTCTCTCCACTACCCTCCTCCTCCCAGGCAGAGGACTGGCTCCTTGATTTGTGTCTTGCTAAGAAAACAACTCCATATAGCACTTAGCTCTTTGTGCCTGGTGGTTCTGTTAACTCTTTCAGAGCCAGCCTCCAAGAGTAGCGGCCTCTGAGGCACGGTGCTGGGTGAGCAGCCTCTTGGTGTCACCCAAGACGTCTAGCACAGTGCGGGACAGAGGAAACGGCCCCCAGGGCAGAGAGGGGTCCAGTTTAACTCCTAGAAGCCCAAGCCTCCGACCCTCCCCAGGCCGCGCCCACCGTGAAGCCTGCCCCACCGCGGGCTCGGACCCTCCCTCCGCTGCTCACCATCACCTGAGTCGACCCGGCTCCCAGGGGTCCCCCGGGCTCCTTCCCGGCGGTCCCTCCCGCCCCCATCCTGGCGGGCGCGTCCCCTCCTCCACCCCGCGGCGGAGCCCTGCGGAGCTGAGGGCGGAGCGTCGCTGCTGATGGCTGGGAGCCGGGCTGGGAGGCGCTGGGCGAGCAGTGGGCTCCAGACGCGCCGCCGCCTGGCCGGGGGGCTGGCATGGCCGCGTGCTTGTGAACGCGGAGCGCGCGAGGGGCCGCTGCCACCATGCCCGGGGGCGTGGGCGCCGTCCGGCTCTGCCTGCTGGCGCTCGCCCTGCCGGGGTGGACCAGAAGTAAGTGGCGGGGTACGGGGAAGGGGGTCTGGGGGAGGATGGAGGCGGGTGGGCTCGGGGGCCCGAGGACCTGGGAGTCGCCCCGTGCAACTCCGCGGGGCTGGTTCCCCGCGGTCGCGCAGCCTGGGAGTCAGGGCTTTGTTCCCACATTGTGCGCCCGGGGAGGTGGTGGGGGTCCGGGAGACCCAGAGCAAGCAGAAAACAGCCGGTCCCCTCCCTGGCTTGCTTTTCTCTGTTTTCACTGTTTTTCTGCTTTTGGCTTTTCTTTCTGCTGCTTTCCTAGTCTCTCCTCCCCAGTCTTGGTGTGTGTGTTCCTATAAATATATATCGATAAAACTGGAACCATACCATATGTACGGTTTTGTGCCTTGCATTCTCCATTTCACATTATGAGCCCACATCGTTACATTCTCCAAAAACATGATTTTAATGACTCTAGATTACATCAAGAAATCGCAGAAGTGTAATTTTCAAAAAGTTAAAAACATAACATACAAATATAGGATGAATGGGAGGAAGACATTCCTTCAATTCATTAATGAGGTGGTGAGTAGAATGGTAAAGCTGGTGCAAAGCTCCGGAGGAATGGGTGGTACAAGCATCTGAGAAAAGGTTGAAATCGCGTGCTGGGACAGATACAAAGTGGTCAGTGCTCCCATAGGGTCAAGGAACCTTAATTCTCAGTTCTCTTTCTATAATATGGAAGTCATTTGCATCTCTACCGGACAAAAATCTATAGTTAACATGTAACTTCACAGAGTATGTTTTTTTGATTTGTTGTAAATTTAAAAAGTCAAACCAAGGGGCATTCCCTTAGAAAAATGTGGTGATCAATGGGAGGACCTGTTAAACAGTGCTCCAATGTGACATTGTAAGGACAATCCTGCTTGCTTTTTCCCTCATTCGCTAGTTTTGAACAATTTTTCTTAAGATGTACCGTGTGCCTCTATTATTTGGCCTTCCTCTCCATACTTTTTTGGCAATCATAAAGATAATTTCATTCCTTTAAACATTCCATTAAATATCATATAATTCCTTTTTATTGCAAAGAATCTAGACTTACCAGAGCCACCAGAGCAGGAATATGCCTCTCTGTTCCCCCATGAATATCAAGCACCTAGCGTAGTACTTGGTAGCTAGTTAAGCATTCAGAAAACACATTATGAATTAATGAATGCATTGCTTCTGATTTTTACTAGTACGATGAAACTAACGCTTGTCTAATGGGATTATTTTTCAGATGTATTTTGACTGAGAATACATCGTATCAGTAATCTGAAAGGAACATTAGTCACTCATAATCCTGCCATTTTCCCAGCACAACTGTGGCCGGCTATCATGCCATTTATTGTATTCTGTGTGATCAATGTGGTTGGTTTAGAGAGAATAGATTTTGCATTGGGGAAGGTCTGTGCTATGGTGAGTGCTGTGAAGTGTGTAAACCTGGTGATTCACAGACCTGTACCCCTGGGGCTAATAATACATTATATGTTAATTTAAAAAAATTAAAAAAAAAAAAGATCAGATTTTGAAATCCTCCCTCCCACCCCAGGCATCCTATGGATTTGGTCCTTTCTTGTGGAGACTAATTTGTCTAGGTCTTGGGGAATTACCGCTTTATTAAGGTGATCTGCAAAAAGTATTTTGAGGTCGGCGGTATGTAGAACACGTCTTTCTCCAAACAAGTTTCAGCTCACCTTTCTTGGAAAATAGAAGTCCTGCTACCTGTCTTGTCTTGAGGATGACAAGGGTTGATTGATAGTGATTAAGAAAGTAGGAAGTGATCTACAAAGGCAAACTTGCCATTAGGAAGCTCAGGGTAGTGTGATGATGCTTTGTGGATGTGGGAGCAGTTTCATGGTGACTCTGTCCAGTACTGCTGTGAATAGGCAGGCTGGTATCACTGTCTTCATATGACAGATGAGCAAACTGCAGCTCAGGGGGAAAAACCCATGGGCCTGATTTCCAGAACATACCCAGAATCTGACCACTTCATTCCTCTTTACTGAGCTCATTTTAGTCTGAGCCACCGTCGTCTCTCACCAGGTCCCCAGACTTGCCTTCTTGCTTCTATTCTTATGCCCACCCCTCCCCCAGTGTACCCCCCATCTCCACCCAGCAGGCCGAATGATCTTTTAAAAACCTGAATACAGATCATATTGCTCTGTGTCTAAACCCTCCAGTGCCTTCCAAGACTATTTATAATAAAATCCAGACACTTGTCATGGCCTCTGGGATCTCAGAACCATGGCTGTTTTGCTGACTATGTCTCCTACCAGCTTCCCTGTTCACTTACTAGATTCTAGCTAGCTCTGCCTTCTGCATGTTCCTTAAACGGGCCAAGTCACCTTCTGCTCAGGCAGGACCATTGCCCTTGCTGGTCGTTCTTCCTGGGGGCACTCTTCCCCCAGGTCTTTTCATGGCTGCCTTCTTCTGGTCTCTCAGGTCTCAAATGCCATCTTTGCTCACCATCCAGTCTAAAATAGGCACCTCCTCTTCAGTGTCTCTTTATTCCATGACCCTACTGGCCATTTGAGGATATTCGTATATCGTGCATCTCCCACCTCTAGAAGGTAAACTGTGAGGACTACAGAGACCTTGTTTTCCTTGTTTACCACTATATGGCCAACAGCTAACAGTGCCCAACTTACAGTAAGCAAGAGCCTGGCACCCAGCAGGTAGTCTAATGACCCAGGAAGGGGGTTGTTCCAGTTGGCAATGCATGCTTAGCTTAGCTGGGATGCAGACTTCTGAAATGCCAATGGTTGTGCATCCTGTTTTGGCAGGAGGAAATGGGGAAGGCAGCCCCCAGCTACAGCATGAACGAATAATACCTCAGTGGAAGACTGCAGAAAGCCCCACCAAAGAAAAGGTAAGACACCAAATATCTCATTTTCAGAGGCAGGAGCTGACAAGTCCATTCTGTGACATGCGGGGCCTCCTTCTCAACTTTCCTGGAAGTCCGGTCATTGCTATTAGTTCTGTTTCAGGCCTACTCTGTCCTCTTTGTGCATTCGTTTTGAAAATCCCAGATGGGACTTTCTTTCATTGTGTGACAAACTTCTAGAACACTTCCAAATGCTATTAGTTGAGGAAATGAAAATTATTAATGCTGACACAAGCTAAGTGCAAATACGTGTCACAAAAATCACCAGCTCTCAAGTGGAATTCATTAAATATTGTCACTGTTATCTTTGCTTTATATAATACATGCTTTACTTTATTGATGAGATAATATACTTGGAGAGAAAAATAATAATTCAAGCTATTTTTAAGAGACAAGGGAGGAATCTCATACTGGAGGATATATCTTAAAATGCAATAGTCTCCATGGGCCATGACACCAGGAAAATGCACCAGCTTTATCATAGGGATTGGGAACAAGACAGAAAACATTAACCTGTTATGCAAAGAGGACCTGTACATCCACGATATTCTTTGTGGTTCTGGTCTTTACAGTTCAAGTGAGACATGAAAGAGCTAGAAAGGAGGACAATTGCTGTGTGCCAGAAACCAGCTATGGGACCTTCCCCTTTCTGAACTTCTGATTCCTCATTTATAAAATAGGGATTCTAGGGGATAGCAATAAAGAGGGCTGGGGAGAAGCGATAGTTAATAAGGTCCTTTAGGGCTCAAAAGGTCCATGATTTATTGGGCAGCATATAAAAAAGCAAGATTATAGTAGAAGAAAACGGAGAGAGAGCTGTGTCAGGAAAACGTCAGAAATGGAGAGGAGAAATGCCTGGAATCCTTGAAGTTATGGCTAGGGTAATACACACATGTCCAAAATGCTTCCATTCGAATTTATTAAGGTAATTTCCAGCAAAAAATTTGGGAGAAATGAAAGTAACATTTTATCCTAAAGACAATAAATGCGTGGACCATATTTCATCAAAAAGTAGGAAAGGCTGAAAATAGCTTCAGGAAAAATCTAGACAGATTGATGGATGGCCTTCCTAGAGCAGGTTATTTTTAAAAATTAGGATCTTGGGTAGTCCAACATATCTGTTGGATATGGATCCAATATTTTCTGTAGAGGTTCTTTGTTCCTTCCAGATGTGGGATGCCTGGCATCCTCAGGAAGGGCCTGAGAAACAAAGTGGAGCTCCAGATCCTGTCTTTATTCCTAGCCATTGTCTGCCCAGAATCTGGGTCATTGTATTTTGTAGGAATAGTCAGCACAGTGCCTGGTGCCAGAAGTACTTGTTGAATGAACAAATGAATGAATGTCAGAGAGGGTGTAGAAGGTAGACTTCAGTCAGACCTCTTATTCTCATTTCTGTAATTAATTCATTCGCCAAACATTAATTGAACACTCACTGTATAGTAAGTATTGTACTAGATCTTAAGTGGCAGGTGCACATACACAGGACAGGTTTCTGATACCCTATGAAGCTGAAGATCTATTTAATCTACCCCTAAAGAGAAAAGAATTTTAACCTTTCATGGGAAGTATAACCAGCAGGTTGGCTCCCTCCACCTCCTAGGAGAGGTGAGCTTGCCTCTTCCTAGCACAGAGTGGAATTGCAAGGAAGAAGCTCAGCAGGGGAGATCCATAGATCCTGATAGAACTGTTTCATTGTTTTGCTTGAAATGTCCCTTGGAAACAAGGGACAACATATTTTAAATATCACTGTCTGAGCATCTTCCACACCACTTGGATTACCAAGTAGGCATTTGTACTCATGTTGCAGCTTGTGTCTCTTTGGAGGAGAGGTGACAGTGTTTGATTTGATGTCAACTTTCCTTTTTTTGTGTGGACTGTCACGCTTGAATAAGGGAATTGCTACAGTTCTGTTGCTGTGTACTCTTCCTCAGATGCCCACTTGCGACTGTGTCCCTGATGCTTAATGTGACTGGACAGGGTCCGTCTTCTGGAATATCCGGCGTAAAGTGGCAAAGCCTCAGCAACCAGAATAGGAGTTATCGGAGCTGAATCAGGGCGTTAGAGATGTAAGGGATGTGGATGCCTTAGTGAAAGTTATTGGGCAAACAACCACCTAACTTCCTCTCCCTGTGGTTTTGAAATGTCCTTTTTTAAAAGAAGTCAGTAGGATGAATTCATACAAAAATAGTAAAGGACAGGGTTGCCCAAGCTTTCTGGATCAGAATGTTCAGATCTCGTTGGAGCCCTTGGTGGCCTGAATGTTTCAGGGATGCCCAGTGCCTAGGACCCTAAAGGAAAGTGCAGTTCAGGGCAAATAAAAAGAGGAGTGTGCTTGGAAGAGGAAGGCCCCCAACCAGGGGTGGCAAAGCAGTGGACCCACTTTCTCCAATGCTGAAACTAAGCTTTGGGGTCAACTTCAGGAATTTATTAGTTCCTTGGTCCCAAGTTAGAGAACATGTATTTAAAACACACCAAAGAATTGAGCCTGTTTTTAATATGCTTAAAAATGTAAGTATCTCATTTTAAATAAATAACTTTACCTTCGAAATAAGCTCAACCACCTCAAGCTGAACTGTTGAAACATGGAAGTTTGTTATGACTTGAAAATTTTCCTTTTTTAAAATTTTAAACATTTTTTTAATTTTTCATTTTTTTATGTTCAGTTAGCCAGCATATAGTACATCATAAGTTTTTGTTGTAGTGTTCAGTGATTCATTCATTATATAATTTTCCACAATATTAAGGTAAAAAGAGATGAAAAGTCCCTTACTTAAAATATCAAAGCAATTCTCAAAACATGGAAAGATCCACAAAGAAAATAAAATTAACCCATGGTACTACTGCTGAGAGGTCACTGTGGTAACCTTTTGATTTATTTCGTTCTACAAAAATATATTTAAATAAAATATATAGAGTTGTTTTGAGCCTCTGTGTGCTTAATAATTATCATGTCTACTTTCTTGATAGTTTAAAAATTATTTCAAGTCATTGATTTTAATGACTGTTGAGTGCTTTGTCATATGCTTGGTCATCATTTATTTAACTATTCTCCTATTTTTGGACATTCAAATTATACTTCATTAGCCATCAGTATAAGTAATGAGCATCCCTGTGTATAAACCTTTGCCTGTTTCTGTTTGTTCTCTTCGGACAGAGTTTTGTCTAAACATTTAAAAACTCTTTGTCCATCTTGGGGCGCCTGGGTGGCTCAGTGGGTTAAAGCTTCTGCCTTCAGCTCGGGTCATGATCCCAGGGTCCTGGGATCGAGCCCCGCATCAGGCTCTCTGCTCAGTGGGGAGCCTGCTTCCCTTCCTCTCTCTCTGCCTGTCTCTCTGCCTACTTGTGATCTCTGTCTGTCAAATAAATAAATAAAATTTAAAAAATAATAATAAAAAATAAAAAATAAAAACTCTTTGTCCATCTGTCAAATTATTTTCCACTGAGTTGGTATCAATTTAAATTATTATTGGTAGGGTATGAGAGTGCCTATTTTTCAGTGTGCTCATTGTGATTTATGGGTTTTTAAAAATCTCTGTCACTTTTTTTTTTTTTAAGGTATCTTTAAAAATTTTTCCTTTTCGGTGGGGAGCAGTTACCACTGATGGTGAACATGTTTTTCGTGCTTATGAGCCATCTGTATGATATCTTGTGTGATCTCTTCTGGGTGTGCTGCTCTTTGGCCATCTATAAGTTTTTCTCATGTGTAAAATATATCTTCTCCCAGCTGTCTCCTCTGAAATGGTTGGGGAACTGAGACCCGAAATGAAACTGAGAGCCAAAATGAAATAAAATACGAACTCACTCGGAAGAGTGGTCTCCTGGTATTTTTGGTAATACCCAACAAGTATCAGTGGTTTTCTCTGCACCAGCTCTGTGACAAATTATTTACATTTGCTATGTCGCATAGTTGGTACAAGATTCCCATAAGGCTGACTGTTATTATCTGTTTTACAAATAAGGAAGCTGAGCGGTAGGGTGGTTCAGTAGCATGCCCAGCTTCACGTACCTGGAGCGTGAAAGCCAGCCCTGGAATCCAGATCTGGCTGCACAGAAAATTGACTGTCCAAGATCGTCGAGTGTGTGCCTTGATCAGACCTGCATGGAAGCACTTACATCATAGTTCAGCCTGGAGTTCCTTTCCTTTGTGTGTGAGGAGGAGGCAGATGGGGGAGGGGAACCGGGTCCTTTGGGGGTTGAAGTCATTTCATGTTTGGGCTGGAAATGCAATTGACCCTTTTTCGTTCACTTCCTGTGGATCAATGTCAGAGCACTGTGCTGGATCCTGTGCCTATTCCAGGGAGCCTCTTTCCCTGCTTTTAGGAACTGACATTCTTTTGTTGTTGCTTTCAGCATCCACACAGAGCTGAGCTCAGGATAAAGGCCGAGGGGCGAGAATTCATCTTGGACCTCGAGAAGAATGAGTAAGTGGACTCCTCATTTATCCATAATGAAACAATTCACTTCCATGTCAATGCCGGATGCAGGTGCCACTGTTTTGGAAGGAAGTGGTTTGTGAAATCACCAAGCCCTCAATCTGTGGTTCCTTTGCGGGGAGTATCTTGCAAAGACAGTATATCCACAATCTCTTGACTTGCTGTGAAATTATTGGACTGTTTAACGTCTTCCTTGAATTTCCTCTGACTGTATTTCCGGGGCCTCCTAGAGTTCACTGCAGGCACACAGGGGTGTGTGTGTGTGTGTGTGTGTGTGTGTTGTGTGTGTGTGTGACGAAGGGAGGGATGGAATGGAGGACTTTGGCAGCTGACTTACTAGCTCCAGCACAGCGCATGGCAGGAAGTGAAGATTAGAGGAAAACAGCAGAAAGCGGAGAGAGAGGTGGGGTGGAGTGTTGTGGGATTTCGTGCCTCGAACACGGGCTGCTCCATGTGTTTTGGGTCAGATAAGTCTGAGCTTCTGCCGACAAGAGCATGGTGAGCAGTCTCCTGGCTTCATCAGGCCGATTCTGCCATCTTCCTAACCTCATTCATCTCAGGTGGCTGCCTGGCTCAGAAATATTTTTCCACATTGATTTGCTATCAAGCGCAGTTGTATCTTGATTCACGTTATTGAGCAGGTGAGTGGACATAATGCATGGTTGCTCAGCGGCCATTCCCAATCTGCCTGGCCACCCGAGCACTCTCCTTCCTTGGCTGGGGGATGCTGAGGCCTCTGGTATTTTCCCACTAACTAGTTCTGCCCTGCAGACCTCCCAGATCAGACTGCATGGCTCAGAGAACTGCCTGCCTCCTCTTGGCAGCCTCTGGAGTCCCCTGAAGCAGATGAGTAATCAGACGCATCATTGCCAAGAAAGGGATGGATAGGGACCTTCCCGTATCCAGAAGGATGGGAATGGCTGCTAAGCTCGGATAGGAGGCAAGAACAGAAATTATTCCAAATTTGGGCTTTTGGATACTTGCAAAGGAGGGTGAGTAGTGTTGGTAGTGTGATAAAAGCATGCCTTAAGCAGCATGTACAGGAATTGGCTTCGTCCACATCTTTCCTCTGCCTCCAGAATATGGTGGCCTCCGGGAAGCTGGAAAGTTGGGCATCTCAATCATTTTTGCTGCTTTCCTCCTAACAGTGAAACCACCCCAAGAATGGTTTCCTTTTGTCCCATTTGCCTGGAATAGAATTGGCTGGCTATGTCCCCAGAAGGTGTCGACTCTGCCTGCCTGGGATTTCTCCTTGTGTTGTCTTCCTCTGGTCCTGCAGGAAATGCCTTCCGAGGGTCTCTTCTTGTCGATTTCTCGGGAGCCTGCTTTCGTTTAGCCCTTTAGCTCCAGGCTGAATGTCCCTCTTGCCACCCGCGGTTAATCTGTCCTATTTGGCCTCAAGAGGACCCCTTGACCCTTCAGCTTCCTCTGGGCGGTCCAAGTGATGGGGGGATGTCATGGGCAAATGGGATCCCGGGACTCATTCTTCCCTCACGTTTTAGAACCTGTGCAAGAGGCCATAGGAAGTTTGAGGAGGAAGATGTCTTAGAAAACACTGGGCGCGATGGTCTTATGCTGTTGGCCATTTGTATGATAGTCGTAGAAACTTTGAATCAGAGAGAGATAGGCAGGCACTTGTCTAAGGTTGCACAGCAAGTAATTGAGAGAGGTGAGACTAGGATCATTTGTGGTCTTGGCTTGGGTCTGGAAAAAACACCGGTTTAGTTCCTAGCTGTGTAACCTGGGTCAGCTTGCTATGAGGTATGTCAGCTCAGTGTCCTCATCTATAAAACGAGGGTAGTAAGCTACCGCCATAGGGTGGTTGTGAATGAGGCAGTGTGCTCAAGACAGAGTGTGGTGAGTGAGCAGCAGGGTGCTGAGTTTTACGGTCCCACACTTACAGCTTCCGGAGAAGAGCCCTCCTGTAGTTCTACTGTCTGCTGCCCCATGCAGCCCTTTGGTTTCCCAGCGAGCAGCGGGGGACTGCATACGGTTCCTGGCCTCCTTGAGCTGGCAGAAGGCAGGAGACTTGACAAAAATGGAAGCAGCCGAGCCAAGCAGTATGACCTCACCAGGTATCCCTGGGGGACGGCTTCCTGCTATTTTTGTCTAAATTGGGCTTTTTGTTTTTGAACTTGTGTTAGCAAGCGGAACTCTAACTGCACACGACTTCCCAGTGTGTTTATTTCCCCAAGCCTGTTCATTCATGGTGCTTGTGAGTCCGGATTCAAAACAGCTCAGGGGTGGGGAGGGGTCGGGGAGCGAGGCTTTTCTGATTTTTTCCAAAGTGCTGCGTTAAAGTTTTTGTAATCCCATGATACTTGAGGAGAAGCTAGGCCCTGTGCCAGGTGACTTCTCAAGCTCTGGTTCTGAATTTCCTCAACAGATTCATTCATTGTTATTCGTCCATTATGCATTTATAGCATTGCTGGCCTAGCGTCCCTACCGGGGACCTGGCTGTAAGCAGAACAGTTCTGCCCCTTGTGGAGCTTATATTCTAGTGGCAGGAACAGTAAACAAAAGAACAAAGGGAATTGTGGTATGCCCCAAGACCACAGTGGGGGGCGGGGGGACAGGTCAGGAGGGAGGGCCTTTTCAGCACGGTGGTCAGGGAAGGCCTTGGTGGTGAATTAGTATTGGAGTCAAGATCTGAAAGAGGTGAGGAAGTGAGCATGTGGAAGACTAAGAGAAGACAAGTCCAAGGAGAGGCAATAGACAAGTTCAAAGCCCCTGATGGGTTATGAAGGTTCCCTTTCTCTGCAGCTCACCAGCCCCCAACCCCCACCCCCATGCATTTCCCCATATATTGTATTCTCGGGCCTCTTAAGGCAACGGCTGTGGGCAGGAGCTTCTGGGACTTGTGAGGGAAGGGAGAGGACATTTCTAATTTATTTTTCATCATCCCGGGGTGTCTGGCCTTCTCCCATCAAGTCAGAGCCGGCGTGCTAATGTGTGGCCCAAAATAGCAGTGAGCAGGCCTTTAATGGAATTCGCACTTGAAGAGATTGCCAAGAATGGTGAGGATGGAGGAGCAGGGGGGTGGGCCAGGAGAGCAGGCACATAGCAAACGGGCCCTCAGCTCAGGAAGCAGACACCCCACGTTGTCTTAATTCGATAACATGACGACCGGCAGCCTTTTCCTTCTGTGAAGCAACTCAGGATAAGTGGATGCGTCCGCATGGGAGACACACATGCTTTACTGAGTGTGGACGAAAAGGAGTGGCGTTGTAGGGCTACTCTTAATATGGCTTTCATGTCTGACAGTCCTAGGTTCAGATTCTAGCTCTGCAGCTTATTAGCTTTGTGTGATCTTTAAGTCTCAGTTTCCCGATCTGGGATATAAAGATAGTCCATGCCATGAGCCATGCGAGGATGACATGAGATGGTGTGTGGAAAGCCGGCGCGCTGCCTGGCTTCAGTCCTACTCAGTAAATGGCAGCTACTATTATTCCTTGCTCAGGATTTTTTAACTGCGAAAGTAATACATGCTTGTCGTAAAACATGTAGCAATACCAAAATATGGTAAGTAGAAGAGTGAAAGTCTCCCACGCTCAAGAAGAATCCATTGTTAGCAGTTTGGTGGGGATACCCTGGACCTTGTCTGCGTGTGTGAGAACATGCACACAGATACTCGTAAACACAGTCGCATACTGGCAGCCATTTTTGTCCGGGAGGGAGGAGCAGAAATGAGATTATACTATGTATCTTGTTCCATACTTGTTTTTTTAGACTCAACTGTACATCTGAAGGTAGTATTCTACTCTAATAAAAGTATGTATTATGTTGCTTCACTCAACAGGCATACACATAATTTGCAAAGGTTGGTGCAGAGCTGTTATTAGGAGAGCCTTACTTGTGGTTGAGGCAGTGTGGTTTGTGGAGTGAGGACTGAACTCAGAGACAGATGAGGATGATCAACACGCTAGCTGGCTCTCCTGGATCTCAACATTCTTCATCTGTAAAATGGGGATTTTGTCCCCATTGGGCTCTAAGAGCTTTTTCTTACACTACCTATTTAAAGGACATGGTGTCAGTAGAATAATGGAACAGAACTCCTGACCTCAGGGAGTTTGCTTTTCATTTAGTTTAGAGACATTCAGTTTAGAGACATCCTTGAAACTAGGGCACTGGGATAAAGGCGAATGCTGCAAAACCATGGACCTTGAAGTTGAGAATGAACTCCTAGCTCAGGATTCACCACTTAGGCAACATAAACACAAGAAAGGAAATGACAGGGAAGAAATTATAGGCTGCTATTTCCACAAGCCACAAATATTGTTTCTGCATATAATTTCCCCCATGCCCTGAGGACTGCCTCATCAACCCAGAAGCTGTACTGAACAAAAATTTGTTTGCTGAAGTTAAATGGAATCTTCCTTAGCTGTAAGCATCTACGGAGATGAACACCTCCAGGAAATGTAGGCTCTGGCTCACTCCTTTCTCCTTTATGTACTTTTTCCCAAGGAGGGCCGACTGAACTATTGAATCAGCTTGCAGGATGCTCATTGGACTGCATTACTCAAGGGCAGGATCACTAGGTTACAGGGTCACCTTCAAAAACACATGAGCAGCTCAACTAGTGGGCACTCTGCCCAGAGGACCTTTGGCCATGCACTTTTCTCTGCTGGTCTCTTGAGCACATTCTGGAACTCTTAATTTCCTTGGTATACTGTCCTTCCTTGAGTCCAAATGATGATAAGATTCAGATTTTGGCTTGGGAAAGAGAGAGATATCTTTTGGTCTCATTCCACTCATTGTGCTCCAGCCCAGCTAGCGGAAGCGAGATCCTGTTTGCACGAGTCTAGCTAATAAGAATGGACATTTGTTTTCTTTTGTGTGTATGTCTACCTCCAGACCTCATGGAGAACAGTAACTGTCGAGGCAGAACGTGGGCCTTTAGAGGCTCAGTGATTGTAGCGTCCACCATTACTTCTGAAGTTCATCTCTCCTCATCTCTCTAATTTCTTATTAGTCCCTCAGAGATGTCA